ATAGTCATTCATTCAAAAAGGAGAAAATTTGTGCAATGAAAAGATGATTTCATTCCACACAAATTAATAAGTATATACTTCCTCCCATTTCTATTATAGGACACTTTCTTAAAAGATTTTTTTGATATTTAATATAAAGCACTTGATTGAGTATTAATTATATTTTTTAATATTACTCCTATTTAAACTCATTAACTATGCATGAGAGATAGAATGCAATGCAAATTTAAAACTTTTTTATTTAGGATAAAATCGAGAGTTTATTCTATTTTTAAACAAAGTTAATAATTTAATGACATCTCCTTGGTTAGAGCCAAGCTTGATGGGCCATCAGTTTAAGTCCATTTTTAATATTTAAATATTATAATTTATATTTTAAAAAAATATGAAATATTATAATTAAAAATTTTAATTTTTAAAAATTCAAAAAAATAATAAAAAGGGTTTATGGGCTCAATCTTGAGTCCTATAAATAAGGTTTGGGCTTCAGAAAATGATTAATTTTGGAACAACTGGGTTTATAGGCTTGAGCCTGCACGATTCCTGGCTCGATCTTTGGTTCCAGTGAGAAAATTAGAAATGTTTTCATAATAAAGACATAGGGAATACTCTCTCTGTCCTTATATATAAGAAGTTTTTTAGAACTTTTTCTTGTCCTTAAATATAAGAGATTGTTAGCATTTTTTTAATGAATGGATCATTATATCCTTATTAAATTGAAAAGAGAAAAAAATAAGTACTCTCATTAATTTACTTTAAAAAAATTTATTTTTTATTTACAATAATTAGGAATCAAAGTAAAATATTTTTGTGCTTTTAATTAAATAATTAATTTTTATTAATTTATATAATTTAATTAAAAATATTTTATACACAGAGACAGAGGGGATATTTTACATTTGCAGGTGAATCTCCTTTTAGATTAACTAAGCTTTGTCTAATTAATGCATTAAAAAAAGTGATGAAAGGACAACTTAGGCCCGCCCTGAGACAGAGTGAATGTTCTTTTGACAAATTGATTACTGAAACTTGAAAAGTTGCTTTAATGCTCGAAGGATAATTATTTTAAATTTACAGTCGAATGCTCTTTTGACACCATTATTAGTTCCAAGGCGCATCATCTCCATTGAATGAGCATATGAACCAATACTACTACTTCATTTCATCGCTAAATATTTCTCTCTTGAGAGCTTTTGCAGTTTGTGTTCTAAGTTTCTGGTATTTTTCATTCTTCCTTTAATCTAAGATTGTTCTTTCTTATAATTATTTGCTTCTTTTTTTTTTCAACCTCAACTCAATACATTTTCTTTTTTTAAGCAGAAACAGGAGATTTTCCTCTCATCAAAAGCATCTCCAAACCAGTTGCTTCGCACAAAGAGGTAATACCTTTTGCAATTGGTTTTTCGTTGTGTTCATATAGTGTGTGTGTGTGTGTGTGTCTTCTGCTTCAATGTTTCCTGGACTTTGTTTTGTTGTTCTTGACTTCCGCCGGTATTTGAGAGTTGAGGGGAAATATATTTAATTAAACTATAGACTAAAATATTTGGTGTTGCTAATTATATTACGATAAGCAGTTTGTTTATGATCAAGTCGATTTTTGAATAACTATAAATGTTTTAGACAGATAGCAATTTGTTTATGATCAAGTCGATTTTTGGATAACTATAAATGTTTTAAACAGATGTTAATGGAAATAGTAATTTTTTGAACAGATAATTATAAATTATACTCCCTCGATTAAAAAAATATAAAGCATTTTTAATTAAGTTAACTCTCTAATAATTAGTTAATTCTTTTTAAACCGATACAATCCTTCCATATTTTTCCTTTTTTAATAAAATATCTCATTTAGTGTTGGGAAAAACAATGTTTTGAAACCCGAACCAGACGTCAAATTGAAAAGAGCAATGGGTTGCGATTTTCATGAATCAACTGGTTAGACTAGTGGTTGAATTGGTGACATAAAAATTAAATAAAAATAATATTTATACACACAAATATATAAACAAAACATTAATTTATCAATGGTGTTTGGGATCTTGATGCCAAAGGCTAGACGCCTACATCGCTAGAGCTGGAGGTAGAGGTATGTCAGCACAAGTTTGCGATCTTAAAGCAAAATGCTGGAGCTGGAGGCACGCTATCATATCATAACTCACAAACTTTCAATCTCAATGCTAAAGGTTTGATCACTAGAGCTGGTTAGAGGTAGAAGCTGAAGGAGAGGTCAAAGATTGAGCTTAGGTCGTGGAAGACAAAATAGAGATGAGAGAAGAGAAGATAAAAAAGAACTAGATATTAGAAAAGAAAAAATGCAAATCTGAGCAACTCAGCCTAAATTTCTTATTTTTTTGGCTTTGAACCGAGTTGATCCGCTCTGGTTTTCGGGTCAAATTCAATTATCTCAAAACTAACTGGGTCAACCTAGTTCAAATGCTAGATTGATTCAATTGGTTGAACCAGGCTATGGCAAGCAGCGGGCAGACCATCTAGTTTGATTCGGGTTTCAAAACACTAGGAAAAAGTGCCAATATTTAGTACCCGACCATGCTTCAAATTAAGTTACCCCAATGCTCAATAAAAAAAAAAGGTGAATGGTTGAGTGTTTTTATCTTAAATATATTTTAAAAAAACATTAATTACACATTAAAAAAACTAAAAATCTTATATTTTTTAATATCTAATTGTAAAAAATACTTCATATTTTTAAATGGAAAGAGTTTTTGTTTTCTCATGGTTCTTGTGTATCTCCTTTTTTTTTTTAAGTAATCTCTTGTGTATCTCATTTAATATCTAAACCTTATGATAAAATTAAAAGTTTAAATGTAACTGACATAATATCTCATGTTAGATAAAATTAAGAGTTAAGAGTTATTTTTATCTTTTAACTTTATCCGAAGGGTCATTAGGGACCTTAAATTTAACTATAAATCAATTATATCCCTTAACGTTAAATATTCCATCATTCATTATTTTAACGTTAAATATACTTAACATTCGTTAGCTATTAATGGATCCCAATTTTTTTTAATGTTCCCTTAACTTTTATTTGAAGGGTCAGTGAACACCTTCAACTCAAATATTTTATAATAAAAAATATTAAAAAATATAATATGGGATCCACTAATGGTCAATTAACAATGAAAAATTGATAGGGTGGTAAAAGAAAAAATATTTAAAATTGAAGGATAAAATTAACTCATAGTTGAGTTTAAAGTCCCCAGTGACATATCTAAGGTGGACAAATTTAAATTTTAATTATTTTTTATTTTAGGAGTAAACTAAAATAATAAATAACATGTTAACGATCAATTCATAAAAATAATTATTTATGTAAAGGAATATAAAAAATAATAAAATTTAAATGTCTAAATCAAATATTAACAAAGAACATTTAATAAAATAGTCTTCGACTAAGGAAAAAAAAACAAAATAGTCACGGTACGTTTTAGCTTTGATAATACTCACATCGAAGAATTGTAATTAGACACTAGAAAATGCCCCACAAAAATGCGAAGAAAGAGTGTCACCCAAAAAAAAAAATGTAAGGAAAGAAATAATTATTCTTGTTGGTGGATATTCTGTGCAAAGGAACAAACTTTATGTTGGTTTACTTTTTGGACCACCTTTATTTTGTTGGGAGAATCACATTAAAGGCCCTAAAAAATACATTATTGCACTTTGAATCTAAAATAATTTGATATTGCATTGCAGAACTTGAGTCTTTTATTGCAATTTTTTTTAGATCAAAAATATAATTTTATCGTTTGTTTGATTTGAATTCAGAAAACCTACGGGAACCCTAGAAGCACAACACAACACTCACTATACAACAGACAATACTCATATGTATTCAACTGAAAGTCTATGCTTTTTCAGTATTTATGTAGCCTAGGCTCAACAAAATAGATAAGTTAAGTAGACCATGCACAACATAACATATACTATGAATAAGACAATGCTCATGTATAATCAACTAAAAGTTCATGTCTTTTCAATATTTTAGTAGCTTAGACTCAACAAAATGGACAAGTTAGGCAGACCATGCAGAACACAACATCCACTATGCCCAAGACAATGCTCACATATGCTCAATAGAAAGTTCATGCCTTTTCAGTATTTTAGTAACTTAGGCTCAACAAAATGGACAAGTTAAATAGACCATGTACAATACAATATCCACTAAAGTCTATGCATAGGCATGGACTTTCAGTTGAACATATGTGAGCATTGTCTTATATATAGTGGATATTGTGTTGTGCTTTGAGGGTTTGTGTAAGTTTTTTAAATTCAAATTAAATAAAGGATAAAATTATATTTTTAGTCTTAAGAAAAATTGCAATAAGAACTCCAAGACCTACAATGTAATATCAAATTATTTTAGGCTCAAAGTGTAATAATGTATTTTTTTAGGGCCCCTAGTGTGATTCTCTCTATTTTGTTTTACTTAACCCTGATTTAAAATAGAAAAAAGTTATTTTTTTTAGTTTTTAAACTGTTGATTGAGTTATAATTCAATCATTCGACTCGATATGAATAGATTCTTAAATTATTAATTTATTTATAATTTAATTTTTAAATTTTTTTTTATTTTTTATAAGTTGACCCCTTTCCTTCACAACCTCTTATTGAGTCATCCAACATGTCAATTAACGTTACTAGCGCCGTTAAATGGAGATGATTTGGCCTACATGTAGGATAATGATTCAAAGAAAGTTTAAGCGTTTAATTAAGCAGGGAGGGTTCAACCAAATTTAAAAAAAGAAAAAAGAAAGGACTTGCAGAGTGGACGAAGTTCAATAACGAGCAGGAATGTCACAAAGGAAGTTGCGACTCTGCAAGGAAGAATATATTAACTAACTTGCAACTTCCCTACTCTATACTTAGATACACCCCTTGAGAAGCCATTGCTGATTCTTCTTCATCGTAAGCCTATGTCACCAATGAAAAATAAATATTGAAGAAAGACGCGAAATGCGTTACGTTAGAAAGGATGAACAAATAAATATTGAGGAAAAGTAAGAGAAGTTCCCCCGTTTAGTTTTAGAAAACCAAAAAATGAAGAAAGAAGAAAGAACTCTACCTTGCTTCCCTTTCTTCTGTGTTACGTTCCAAGAGAGCTTGTCCCACAGGTGAGTTTCAAATCGACTAACCCATCTATGTCTGATTGATAACCACACATGGAAGGCGTCAGCCTTGGGTCTCTCTTTTATGTTGTTGGAATTATTTTAGAAATTGCATAAGCAATATATTATTATCAACAATGACAAAAATAGGCAAAGTATATGAACACTCTGTTTTCCTTTGCTCTTTGTTACTGATAACAGAAGTGTATGTATAACGATTTGGATATTAATTTCATTGCTATTTATGATTTGCATTAAATAATTTACAAAATGAATTTGATTCAATAGTCACAGGAACAACTAGCAAAGTTTTGCGGTAGTCCAGGGATTTGCATCATCGCATGCAAGCCCAGGGATGGTAGGTTCTCTGTCGGAGGAAAAAGTCATTAGAAAGAATAACTGTGCAGATTGATATCTCCTTTTATAATGATCCCATGATCTGTTCGCAGTGGAGGAAAAGGAAGAATTCTCGCAATCCGGATTTCGCCATCGAACTGCCTCAGATCTGCTCTGATATGAGTTAAATCGGTGGAAAGAAATGGCATTTGCAATAGCAGGACCATCATCAATGTAATTAACTCTTCATTAAACACCCTTGAGCTGCTATGCAAGGTCGGATATGTAATCTGGTTGCACATCAGAAGCATTTTGGGTGGGTCTCAAGAAGTTAATATCTGCAAACCATCTCCTCCTCCCTCACCGGATCATATTAGCTGTCCTACACTCTCAATAGCTATTTTATGGAGACTAGGACAGCTGTCTTTTTTCCTTCTTCATTTTATTTCCTCTTATATGTTTGACATTTTGTAATTGGTCTTTTATAAAAAAAAATAATATATTTTTTCATATCATCTTTCATTAAGTTAATATTTATTTTTTACTAAATAAATTTATTTTATTAATTACAAAGACAACTTATTCTATTTTTTTAATTTCATATATAATTATAATACTTAATTAATTTTTTTAAACCATGTAAATTAATTATTTTTTTTAATATTACTCTTTTTATTATATTCTCTCTTTTTAATATTATTTCATAAAAAAGTATTAAATGAAGATCATTTTTAAAAAATTTTATTTATATTTTAAAAAATAAAGTTGTAAAATATATTTAATAAGCTTTATTGATATATATAATTTTATTTAACAATATTTTATAATTTAAAATAAAATTAATATACTTTTCGTCCTCAATGTAAGAGTTTGCTGGGAGATTATTTTGGTCCTAAAATTTCACTCCTTTAATTTGTCTCTTATATTTATTATTTTTTCCAAATACCTTATAATTAGCTTCTTATATGATATATAAACTTTGTTGATAATATTTTAATGCAAACGATCAACAGTAGGGATATTTTATTTACAGATAACTAACTAATATAATTTTATTAATATGTTTGAATTAATTAACTAACTCCTATATTTAGATGGGAGTGAGTAATATACTAATAATTCTCCTAACTTAATTTATCACCCGTCTAAGTAATTTGGCTATAATTATGATGGTGATGCTGTTATTTCATTTCACTTTCCAACAAAAAAAAGTGGGCACTGTACTCTTTTGCATGATATATTGTTTTTCATTTATATTATAGTTCTAATAATTAACCTTTAAATTAGACCGAATCAATATAACTAGTTCGATTTTCAGTAGCGATACAGGGAATCAAACTTTGCAGGAAAAAAAACAGCTGCAGCGTGCCCTGCATTATAGTCTACACGGCTTTAATTTGTCCGTATGATGTGACGGAAGATCAATTATGATGTGAGGACCCTTTTTGAAAATCTCTCTTAAATTATGTGGCTCTCTCATTTTTCTTCTTATCATCTTCATCATTATGTTGGACTGTAATCTGCACAGCTTCCACTTAATTTTAGTGCTTCTCACTCAATTATTGTTCTGCTTCTTCTAACCAGCCTGCTGCTCTAACAAATCAGGATATGTTTGAAATTATTTTTATTTTATTATTATAAAAATTATTATTTTATAAAACATATTTTGAGAATAAAAAATAATAAAAATAAGTATTTTTTATTTTTTTTTCAGAATAATAATCCCATAACACCTAAAATATATTTCTGTTTTTTATTCTTCAAAATAATATTTTTTTGGCTTCAAAATACTTTTTTAAAATGAAAAATAAAAAATTATTTTTAGAACAGGTTGGCAAAGGGACCAATTCCTTCCCATTTTTGTTCCTGCTCTCTCTCTCTCTCTCTCTCTACACACACGTCTCTCTGTTACTGATTATTATTAGGTTCACGAATCTCATATATGTCTGATCTCCAAACATAAAATAATTTTCCCATCAATGATAGTGGAGAGAGACGGAGAAATTTTTAAACAAACATAGTGTACTATTTTATCCATAATACATCTAATAAAATTAGATCAATTCAATTAAAAAATTATGTATCATTATTTTTAATGAATTTATTTTTATAATAACATGCCTATTTAATTTCTTACATTTTCTATCTCTACTATCATTAATATCAGAATCAATTTAGATTTAATACCATTTAAATATCATATTTTTATTGGATGAATTATAAATAACATGATGCATCGAGTTTATCTAAAAAAATTTTAAGAGAGAAGACAAGAAATTAAAAATAAAATCACTTAATATAATAATATATAAAATTTTATTTAATTAAATTAATATGATTTTATTAGATGAAATATAGATGATATGGCATGCTGAGTTATTTTACCCGTTGATAAAAAAAAAAAGAAGAAGAAGAAGAAGAAGTTAATTTTACCCTGACTAAAGGTGACAAAAAGATATGGCTACATATGCGTTAATTATGATATGAGGCTTTTTGAAAATCTCTCCTCAACTAAATAATGCCTCTTTTTTTCCCCCCTTTTTTTGTTTGTCGCGTTGTGTGTGTTTATGTATCTTGATGAAAAGTTATCACTTAATATAATGTAACTCATATTGGATTAATGTATTTAATACATAGTCTATTTTTAATAGGTCATAGCACATTATAATTATTTTTTTAAGTGAATTTCACTGGTTTTAGAGTGAATAAAATATGATTACAATAACTAAATAAAAATAACAGAGGGGATTTTTGTATTTGTTATTTGTGCTTTGAAAGATCTTTTCTAGAATAAGAGCATATACAATAAAACATGAAATTTAGAGAACTTAATATAATATACAATGAAGTAATTAAAGGAAAAAAGAAATGAAAGCAATACTGCATATGAAACTCACAAAATGATAAATCTCATCCTTGTTTCTTTTTTTCTTTAATTAAAAAAACATAATTTAAATAGTCTTGATTATTCTCAGAAAAAAGGAAAACTCTTGATTAATAAATTATAACATTAAACCATGTTGTGAGTCCTAAAAAAGCATAATTGATTAAGTTGTTGCAAGTTCTCCATTACTAATTTTCACTTAACTCCAACCTCAAGGTAATCAAGAGACTAATTCAAAAACATTACCAAGTTTATAAATTTTATAAAGTAGGATTCCAAGTTTTCAAATTTTAAAACACTTTAATATATTTTCATTAATTTAAAAATCAGAGTAAAAAGTGTATGTGCAAACATGAGATCTTAAATAATTCAAAGCATTTGCAATAAGGTTGAAAACCAAAAATAGTGCAGTGAAAAACAAAGGCGTGTCACAACATGTTTGTTTCTATGTCACGTGCCACGACGCATTTTATATTTTTGACAGCATTGTTGCTGTCATTTACCAGCAACTGGAGTGAACTTTTGATGCGTCCAATTTCTCCATTTGATGTCCGATTGAAGCAATCTAGATGTCTATAGAGAAGTTTCTTCTAGCTCTAGCTAATGATACTAGTTTCATGATCAAATTATTTCTCAATAAAAAATTGAACATCCATTTCTCAACTAACACCTTTTCGCAATTTAAACATATATTGGGTGTCCTAATTTTATTCCAACTGCCAAAAGCATAAAATACATGATAGACTACATTCAATAAACTATAACGGACCCATACAATATACCATATCATAAAATTAACACAACCAATACATTTTCAACGCTTAACCCCTTAATTGCAAAAATAGAAAGGGGAGCCACAAATTCGTAAATCATCATATCATTCAACAATAATTATATTTTTACTTACTTCTTACTTGCACTAGTATTTTAACCTTGATTTAGATATCACAAGCAATGCATATAAATCCTAAGGCCCCAAAACACACAATTTAATTTAACATTCTCATAGTACAAGTAAACCAAGAACAAGTACTTTCCTAGTTAGTAATATTATGTAAATTATACACAAAATAATCAAAATAAAAGTGAGGCCTACAGATAGGATAGTAATCCTATGTCTCATATTGTTTCCCTCGATCTTGTGCCAATGAGTTAGCTCTTGTAATATTAAAGAGAGAGGGGTGAGAACAACCATCCAATAACCAAGGTATGTCTAACTTATACTAATGTATATCAATTAATTTAAATGCAAGAAGTAATTTATCATTTCACTCATGTTATTCACATTCAAATTGTATTTTCACGAGTTACAATATCATCTTCTCGAATTCACAATATTCATTTTCACAAATGGCAATATAAATTTCATAATTATGATATTAACCTCATGTTATCGCATGTTATCAAAAAAGGAATACAACATAAACAACCATGTATCATTTTATCACATATGTATGATTACACCTTCCTTATATCCTTCTTATGCTTTCGACGCAAAATTATGGGTTATTACAAATTAAGATTGTCCATGTCATGAGACTACCTTGGCCATTCACACATGAGAAGCTACTTGACCAAAGTTCAAGTCCCTTATTACATAATGGGACAGTTCCTTATCAAACAAGTAGGATAATAAGAGTAATAATATCCAAGAAAACCATCAAACTCCAATAGTAGCCTTACCATATGAATTTTAAACTCACCACTCCTCTTCCTATGTGAACTCTCGCCTCTCATGATTAAGCAATGCATAAAATGCAATATTCTTTAGCAAGCAAAATACTCAATTTACAAGCATACTCAATTATCATTGTACTCACATCACATATGATTATCATATAACGCATGACAAAAAATCATTGTACTTCATATCATATTACTTCATTGAACTCCACAAAGACAACATCTCATTGAACTATACTTACAAACTTTCATTGAACTTCACATTTCACACATTCATCAAACTCCCCTTTACACACATTAATTGAACTTCACATTACAAATGTTTATTTTAAAACTTTCCCTTGTTATCAGAGGGAAAATATAATCTCATATGCCACACTTGCATTTTAAATAATTTTACACATGTCAATTATATTGTATAAATCAATAAATTAATTAACACACAAAAGCATAAGAGAGATTTTCCCCGATTACCTCAGACCTTTAAGAGATTAAAGGTTTACCTTTCAAATACATGCTTTCAAAGCTTTACAAAGCTTGAATGGTGCCAATAGATAATTAGTCTATAATAAATCATATCACAATTGTCAATATCCTCTTTTAGGATAATTTTCAATACTTACTCAACACTTTTAAATTTTTAAAATCATAACTCTTTCATTTTTAATCACACCCATTGAGTTCACTAACTCCCATTAGGTTAATTACATTAACTTCATTGAACACCCAATCAAATATTAATGGAGCCACATTACTCTATCTACCTCATTTATAGAGGATTTTTGTGTACTTATGTCTCCCAACTATAAAAAATGCATAAAGCCATAAATGCTAGGCTGAAATAACCTAAACAATTCCCATGGATTCTATTTAAGTCAATGGGTTTAGATCCATAGCCTTTATGGACTAAAAATTATCTTTTCTAACAAACCCTAACTCTCAAACTCAAGAAAACACAAGAGGAGTGGAGGACTTAGGAGATTAACCTTTGATGTTTAAAAGCTTTAAAATACTCCTAATGTTCCAATCCTTCAAGACCTAGCAAAGCTCCCTTGGTATTCTCCTTCCTTCTCACTCAACTCTCCTTCTTTTTCCTCTTCTTTTCATATCAGACTTGTGTTTGAAAAACTTAAAAAATTTGATCATGGGCCATGACATGTGGTACAGACAAACTTTCCTTGCTTTCTAGTGGCTCATGCACCATTGCATGTAGCATAGAGCCATTTCTCCTTATCTTTCTCACTTTTTGACATCCTAGTGGCCTGACTTTGCTCCAAACTCAATCTTAGGGCTGAAATCACAACCCAAAACATCTGTTAGTTCTTTGTAACTATACATCACATCAATTTACTTAATTAACCTTATTTACTTAGCTAATTAGAAGTTAAATTTTCCTGAATGTTGCAGTTGTTGATTACCACTAAACATGCCTTCCCTTCCTATTACTCCATCATTACCTTATGCATTATCCAACTCTAACATGGTTACCATGCCTCTGAAAGGCAATGCAAAATCACAATTAGCCAATTCCATAAAATAGAGCTAATAGGCATATCATGTTAATATTCTGAACAATAATTGAACAAAGTATTTCAGTTGATTGTCATAAATTTATAACATAATAATTAATTTTTGAATCTACTTAGGTCAAATTCAACTAATCCACAATACTAGATAAATGATAGAAAAGGAGATGAGATTTATATAAAAGGTACTAGTTACCAAATGTACAATTATTGATAATTATATAACGTGTAGCAATTGATATGAAACTAATTTGAAATCAACCATTGAAGCTCATAAAATATAAAGCTTGTTATGATTTGAAGATCGCTTATAATAATGTAGCACTTTTTTAAAAAAGTAACTAGCAAGATTTTTATCCATGCTCTAAACGCACAATAAATTATTTTTAAATAACAACTAGTTAGTTTTCATAATTTATGATTTTTATTCATGCTAAAAATATAAACATCTTATTTATTTATTTATGAACTTATTATTAATAAAAAATTAAAGATAATTTGGAAACTACATAACTAAAAAATACGTTACTATAAAGTCATAAAAATACAATATAAAAATGTTAACATTATTTTATCATTAAAAATAGAATATAACATATGTTAATTTTTTAAAATGATATCATAAATAAAGATTTTATTAAATTTTAATAGTCACAATCAGATATGCATTAATTTTGTTAAACAAAATGGAGAAAGATTATGAATATAAAAAATGTAAAAAAAACATTGCATTTTGTTTAAAAAAAGGTCATTAATAAAATTTACTATTCATTGGATAAACATATGATAAGTTATTTTAAGGGTTAATAAGCATCCTAAACCCTAAACTATTATGCGAATAGCATTTTGAACCTTGAATTTAAAAAACCCCAACTTCTAAATTTCAAACACCGGAAATTTTGCTGTTAAGTTGGAGAAAACGACAATTACTTTTATAGTTATAGGCCTCTATCACACACTGATGTAACACTTATCTTAACTCTTAAACTTAACAGCAGGGTCTTAGGTATTTAAAATTTAAAAGTTGATAGGAGTTTTTACATAGTTTAAGAGTTCAGGATCTAAAATATTTTCATATAATTGTTTAGGGTTTAGGATGTTAATTAACCTTTATTTTAATAACTTGTTATTTGGTGCCTGCAGGAGTTATATCTAGTGAAAGGGCTCGATTAAGATTTGAATCGTATATTTAACGTCACACTATATTTTGAACATGATTACTCAAATAAAAGGACAACTATCAGCCATCAAGGAAAAAAAAAACAATTTTTTATTTTTTATTTTTTAACAAAACAAAGAGAGCGTGGCTGTTGAAGAATCTGGAAACGAATACAGAGCTAGAGAATTATATGAATGTATTTAAAAAAAATGGAAATGGAAGAGGCGGCCTATTCAATTTACCGGAAAATTGGAGAATTAAAGCACCAACAATGTTGAACAAACCGTAGGGTTGGGATTTATAAATACGTACAAGGGCATAAAAAGAATTATACTATAAAAACAAGTCATAAATTATATTTTATTATTAAATAAATAGTGATTTTATTAGATGAAATATAGATAAGGTGGCATGCTGAGTTAATTTTACTCGTTGATTAAAACAAAAAAAAAAAGTTAATTTTACCCAGACTAAAGGTGACAAAAAGATGTGGCCTACATATGCGTTAATCATGATATGATGTTGCTTTTTGAAAATCTCTCCTCAATTGTATGGCTCTCTCATTTTTCGTCTTATCATCTTCATCATTGTGCTGGATTGTAATCTACACAGCTTCTTCTCAACTTTGGTGCTTCTCACTTAATTATTGTTCTGCTTCTTCTGATCAAGCTAAGCATACTACTCTAGCAGGTTAGTCTCCATTTCTTCTCCCCCCCCCCCCTCTCTCTCTCTCTACTCACACGCACACATGTCTCTCTATTCCTGATGATTCTTCTCAGGCTCATGAATCTCATATATGTCATATCTCCATTTTTTCCAGACACTCCTCCTTCAAGCCGTTTCAGGTAATTTTCCATCTTTCTTTAATTTCTTTCCCACCCAAGACAAAGTTCATTAATTACTGCCTTTCAATTTTAGATTTTTTTTGTCCTTGCTAATTTAATGTTTAGATATGCTCCCTCTATACTATATGTAAGTCATTTTAAATTATTCTTAAAATTTAAAAAATATTCTAATTTTATTCTTATTAAAGAGAGAGAAATAAAATTGAAAAATATTAATTAATAATTTTTTTATATTATTTATATTAGGGACTAATAAATTATTTTAAAAGACGTCCTATAATATATTGATAGGAAGGTGATCAACTGCTTATGTCATAAAAGATCTGAATTGTATAAATCTTATTTAGTACTCAAACGTGCAAATAATATGTTGCCAAAATTTATTTCAAGATTTTTTTTTCATAAAAAAATCAATTAGTTGAAAACAAAATGATGTGGGATTTGTGTCAGGAATTTGATAAAAGCTTGGATATTGATCAGATAATATCTTAAATGTTGGACTCTTTGTTTATTTCGAAGTATTGGACTTTTTGTTTGTGTCCTTGGATTTGTTGATTTCTAGTTATAGTGTGTTGGTTTTGTCTTGGCACAATCTTTTAACTGAGTCACTTTTGTTTTTTTGGTATTCAGACTGAGTCACTTTTTGTCTAGCTTTGTTGTTTTCTTTTCGGTATAATATATCACTTGACTGGAGCATTTTTTAAATATATAATGTATTAGCTTTTAATAATAAATAAAATTGTCTTTTCATTAAAAAAATAAGATAATATCTTAAGATCTTGGACTTGGGCTTGGGCCTCAAATTAACTAGATTAGCATTAGACGGAGGAGTAACAATGATTCTGATACCATATATTATAATTATACTTTTTTAAAAAAAACACAATATATAATGACAATAATTTTTTAATTATGAATAATAGCGATGGTAATTAAATTTATAAAATAACACTAGTTGCCTTGGTAACAGAAAATCCAACTTCACAATTAGTAGAGAGGTGTTCAATTATTTCAAACTTTATTTTTTTTACTTTTCAACCTCCAGCTTTTTTATTTTGAGTTAAAGGGATTATAAGTGAAATTGAACTTGCCACCTCAACCACTTGCACGGGAGCTTGTATGTCATTAGACTGCAAAGTCAATCGCTCAACCTTTGGCTTTGGGTTATCAGTCATTAATAGCTTTTAGTTTTTTTTTTTTTTGCCATGGTCTTTATTTTTCCTTGCCATCATGAGTTGCCTCTTTCGTTCTTGGAGTTTCCCTCAATTATTATTGTTTTTTTGGCTTTGAATAATATTCTATGTTCACTTCAATTCTAAACAATATTGTTCTTTTGAAAATAAAATTACTCAATAATTATTTTATTAGTGGCCCAAACAATTAACATCTGAGATCCATATCTATACCCGCAACTTTTGTTCATAATTGTTTTTAATATCAGATGGCATTTTTTGAGGTGGAAAAAAATATCTGGTCACAATCATCTTTTATTTTGGGTTAAATGGTAACATGGCCTTAGACTATAGGCTTGGATTTGAACCCAATAACTAGTATATGTTACGTTTTGAATTTTGAACAATTAAACCTTGAGACAAACCAACCTTTACAAATAATTTTAAGCAAACACCCATTATGTGTGGGCCTACAAATTCTCTCTCTCCCTCTTCCTTTTGGCCTCTCTCCTCCCTCCCTCTCTTCATCTCTCTCTCCTCGTGCTCTACTCCTTCTTTAGAAAGTATTATGGATTCTTTGAGACCATTGATCAAACCTTGTACACCTTAACTTGGTTGTCCACCATTAACAGTAGGGGAAGAAGGAAGAAGGAGTGCTCAACCTAGTGTCTTGTGTTGTTTTGGGATGAAGCATAAGGGGAAGATGAGGTATCAGGAGTAGTACTCAATAGACCTTAACAGCCCCATTGGTGTCTAAGCCTTGTCTCCGAGAGTGTCTCCTAGAACTTGTCACAACATAAGAGAAGGCACATCTAGCATGTTTCCTCGTGTGCCTCCAACAATCACCCTTGGAAATCTAACCTTAACCCTCCTCCTCTACTTATCTTCCCTTATTTTGTCTCGCCGTATGACTCTCGATGGAAATCTGATTATGCTAGCTAGCAGAGCTGTGACAGAAATAACAAGCTCTTTTATAGTACATCGTAGCTCGGCCTTACCTTCGGTATCGACAATTCTAAGACCAATTCAGGATTCCCTAGAAGAATGAGTTTGTCATTCAAGAAGAAGACGAGATTCTAGATTTTCTCCATTGATTAAGCCTAACCTTTCCATTGCATCGTGATCTACCATTAACGGTTTATGGTCGTTCATCAAAGCCTGCCAAGTGCTCGAGAAAACTTCAAATTCTTAAGAAGAGGCTCGGTTGAGGCTGGCGAGAGGAAAAAGGAGTTGAGTGAGAGGAGAGAGAGAGAGAGAGAGATAAAGAGAGAGGGAGGAGTAGAGTTAGTAACTCAAGCCAAGCCCGACAGGCCAGCTCGAAAAAATTTAGAGTCAGGCTTAGAAAAAAGATGATTTTTTTATGTTCGAGTTAGAGTCGGGAATAAGGATAGAGTTTAGAGGCCTTATTTAAATAAGGATTTCGGCTTTGAAAATTAAATTTTGTTTAAAATAACCGGACTTGAGGGCCTGACCTTAATAAGCTTTGTAAAAAAGGGCTCAGGCCCGAGCAACCTTTCAAGCTTGGTTATATTTTTTTTTTTGTGGAACATGCGTTTAGAAGCCAAGAAAGACCTGTTGAACGCCTAAACCATGAACCCTAATTAAACCATGTCTTGGACTCAACTTTATAGTGTAAGTTCTTATTTATCCAATGCACATTTTCTCATTATTGTTGGTTTATAATTCCTTGTTTGATACTTTTCATTTTATTGTTTAAATGCAGGATTTTCTTAATTTCAAGAATAAGGATATTTCTTCCATTGAGAAATCTGAACTGGATTATTATTTGAAAGAAGCTTCTCTTGATGGTCACCAATTTTCAGAGTTGGATGTGCTACATTGGTGAAAGACTAATCAACAATGATTTTTCAATCTTTTGAAGATGGTATGCAATATTTGAAGAATTTCAATCATTATGCTAGCTAGTGAATCGAATTTTATTATAGGCTTTTAATGCTTAATTCTATTTTAATTTTTTCAAAACAGGGCTTGTGGGCCTAGCCTTAAGCCCTTCAAATAAGGGCTAGGCCTCAGAAAAGTGGTGAAAAATGAAAAACCGAACTTAAAGGTTCAAGCCCTTAGGTCAGGCTTGCTTGTTTTCCAACTCTAATTTGGACTAGCCTAAATAAGCCTAAAAAAATTTAGGCCAAGCTTGATCGGGTTCGGGTTTGGCTTAAATACCTGAATAATTTTTTTATTTTCAAAAAATATATAAAATATAAAAAAATATTAATTAATTCTTTACGTTTTAGGTTATTTTATATTAAAATACCATATATTTGAGTCTTATATATCATTTAAGTATCAAAAAATATATTTTAAAAATAAAATTTAGATATTTAAGCCACCCGAAGGAATTAGAGCCGGGCTTGGCTGTTCGTTCTTTTTAGGGGGACTGGCCCTGTTTAGCCCAAATAGGCTAGACTTGCTTGAATTTTCAACTCTAGGGAGGAGAGAGGTAGAGAAGGAGAAAGAGAATTTCTAAACCCACATGTAACATACATTTGCTTAAAATTAATGATAGGGATGAAATTATTTCAAATTTAATTGTTTAGGATTCAAATCACAATTGAGCCAATTGTTAGGATCTATAGTGCTATTTAATCCTTTTATTTTTTTATAATAATTAAGGTTATTTTTTAAAATTTAATAAAAAAAGAATAGTTCTATGAAAAAAAGAACAAATTAGAATTAAAAGTCAACAAAACTTTAGCTAGGAAAGAAGAAATAAAAAGGGGGAAATGACATACAAAATCCCCTTAAAATTTGTAAATGATAATGAGGTCTCACAAAATATCATAATGCTTTTTAAGTCCCAAAGGGACCTTTTTGATATTAATGATTTTTAATAAAATGACTAAAATACCCTTAGTTTAAAATAAAATAAAAAGTAACAACTCTAACAAAAAAAAAGTAAATATTGGTGATTACTTTTCTTCTAGTAATGACTAGAGAACAAGCAATTACAACTTTATTTGTGAAAATTTTTAATTCATTAAAGTCTAGGTGTTGTAAATATCTGTGATTACTTTAGTTAAATAATGACTATTTTTTTCTAAAAATAACTAAAACAAAACAAGAAATTACAACTTTCATCGTGCAAATTTTTTATTAACTGAAATCCAAGTGTTATAAATATATGTGACTATTTTAGTTTAAACAATAAGTAAATTTCTTCTAGTAATTACTAATTGATCAAACAATTACAACTTTTCATGTGCAAAATTTTGATTTATTGAAGTCCAAATTTTGTAAATATCTGTGATTACTTTTATTTAAACAATAACTGTTTTCTTTTGACAATGACTAAAATGGAATAAGGAATTATTACTTTAGTTTAAACTGGGATAGTTTAGTCATTTTCATATTTCAAGAAGATTTTTCTATCATTTTCCCTATTAAAAAAGTAAAAAAGGACATTTTATATATACTTTGTTCATTTGATTCTACAAAATAAAAATGAAAATTTTAAAAAAAATTGTGATTGGTAATTTCACTATCTCTGTACCTCATATTTGTTAGGCATTGAAGTTTATCTTTTATTAATGCAGTTTGTGTGTGGTGATTTCTTGATGTTGATGGCAATGGCAGATTGGGCTTCACTGGTGTTTCCATTCTCCAATTTCTTTGCTTCTAAATAGTTAAATTTCATGCCATTTTGAGGTAAAGTGATCTTCTTTCTTTATATAATCATTTATTCGATTTCAAATATTAAATTGCATATTAGGTCCCATTTTTTTAAAAAGTAACAACTATTTGTTTTAATTTAATGGTAGGGGCAAAATTATATTAAGTTTAATTGTTTAGAGTTCATAATATACCAGTATGAGTTTAAGGTTTAAATCACCCTTGACCTATATAATTTAGAATCCAAATTGTATATTAAACTTTTTTTTGTAAATAAAAAAGTCTAGGTAAGTTGGGTTTTGAGGGCTCATTAGAGCCAGGGTATGCACCTCAAGGCTTATAAAGAACATTTATAAAAATACTTACAAATCACCCACCAACAAAATCTTTACATTAAGAGTGAGATTTGATCTCATAACTTTATGAATTAGGAGTCAAATCCTCATAAATGAGACCAATCTCTGTTGGCTTTGTGTATATTTATTTTATTAGAATAGTGGTCCTATTAGCTAACCATATAATAGTGGTCTTATTATTAGAGAGCTTGTAAATGGGCCAGTTTAGCCCATATGGGTCAATAGGCTCAAATCCAAATGTCCAATCACCTTAAAATTAATTTATTCTTCAAGCTCTGCCTTTATTGATTTGGCTCTAGATAATTCCCAAAAGTATTTTTATTTATTTTAATTTTAATTTTTTTTAATTTTAAATATTTAATTTTTCCATTATAAAATTACATATTGATTTTTAAAAATTCAAATTATAATATTCAAAAATTAAATTAAAAATAAGTAATGTAAATCCTAATTTAAATTACAAACACATATTCTAAAGTCTAAATATAATCTAAAATTTAAAATATCTTATTTTTAATTTTAAAAATAAATATGAGCTTAAATGAATAGCCCAAACCTAAGTCCATTTTTTCAAGACTTAAATGTGCTTGGCTCAAAAATCTTTTTATATAAGCATAGGCACTAAAAAAAAGGGTTTAAACAGGATATATTTAAGCTATCATGAAAAAAGAAAACAAAAGAGAGTAATCAAATGATTTATTTTTTTAATATATATTTATTAATATTAGTATGATGTTATAGCAAATAAACAGTAGCTAACAATAAACAGTAAAGTCTGGCAAAAAAAAAAAACAATAAACAGTAAGGGCTCTATATATGACCATATGCAAAGTAATTTTTCCTATCTTTTTAATTCTGCTATAAATCCTGTTCCCAGCGGTGGCTATCTATAATTGCTTTGTTCATCATATTTAACATCCCCTGAAAGTTAAGAATGGAAAAATTAAGGGGTTGTTTGATTTTATTCCCATTTTTTATTTTTAAAAATTATTTTATAAGCTATTTTTTAAAAAAATATTTTTCAAAATAAAAAAATATGTTTGGTTATGTTAATTTGAAAACAATTTAAAGTTGAATCAGGTATATTAATGGTCGCTGGTGATTAATGATATTGATAGAGATCTAAATATTATGTTTTTTTTATTTATTAAATAGTTTAAAATAGATTTTGGCCCCCTCATTCGTTGTTTCATTTTCAAGTTGCCCTCAACCATTAAGCTCTAGATATCTCCATAATAGGTGGCCATTGTTGATGATAATTTAGAATAATCAAATGCAGTGCGTTTTAAAAAAACGGAAATAGTTTTAATATTATTTTTCTATTATTAAAAATAATAATGAGAAAAATGTTGAAAATATTTAGGTCCAAAATACTTATTCAAACAAGATTTTTATTTTTTATAATAATTTTTAAAAATAAAAATTAAACATGCCATAATTATTTCATTACCTCATATGATCTTCTGATTGAGCTTAGCGGTTAATTTGTTTTTTTGATGTCTTAGTTTTCATGTCTCGTTTCAAATTTGTCTTGTCTTCGTTAATTGTTCTTTTTCTGCCGCATAATGCTAAAGGGGGGAAAAAAGATGAAAACGAGACTTCTTTGTGGAAGCTTCGAAGGCATCTTTAAACAAAGTTGAAATATCCAAATCCAAAATTGTGGTAAGTGTACAGTTTGAATTACTATGTTTGTGTTTTAAATGTCATTTCTCATTTTTATTACATTTAGTTTACAATTTCAACTTCTTAACTTATAGGGCCTGTTTGCTTTTCACTGCTTTTGTGAGGGAATGAGAATGATGATTGAAGTGGGATGTGAATGGGTTTCGATGAAATGAATAAAATTATATTTGATATATTATGAAAAGAAATGAACATTTAATTACATGTGGTTGGACAATAATACCATTGATATATATATATATATATATATATGTATGCATGCATGCATGCATGTATTAAAAAATATTAATTAATTAATTAATTATCAGAAGAGTTTCACATTTATTCAAGAAAAGTGTGAAGTATTCAATTTTTAATTTCTTTGGTTTATTTTATTATAAAAAATCAAAATATAGTCCATTTTGGTAATATGATTCATTTAAAAACTTTAAATATTATATCTTGTGTAAAAAAAAGTAATATTAGGAATTTGATGAAATATTTGGTTAATTCCCTAAACAATGAAATTCATAACTATAAAAGTTTTTGGAATTGGACCGATTCAATTTAAAACTTAGAGTTAAAGATATTTTTGCTTCTTAACTATTCGCTTAGGATCGTCCGGCATCATAAACTTACATGTGTTGTAATTGTTCACTTCAACAATTAAAAATGATGCATTAAGCACCTTACTATTAAAAAGTTAACTTTAATCATTAAAAGTTCCAGAAAATTACAAAAAAGAAAGTAAATATTACAAAAAAAGATCTAAAAAAATTTACACATTGGTACATATTAAAATTAATGCTAATTAAGTCTCTTAAATTACATATAAATATTAGGATACTTGGTAATTAGTGGACCACAATTACTGGCAGCAACACTAATAAATAATTGAAAAGTATTATATTTGTTTATACTAATTTAGGGAATTTATTAATATTTATTTTCTTATAGGGTATTTTTTTGGATTTTTTTATAATTTTTGAGATATTTTTTTATAATTTTCTAGGTCAACTAATGGCCAAAGTTAACTTTTAATGATAGGATGCCCGGTGTATCATTTTCAAATGTTAATGAAGAAATTACATTATAGGTAAATTTACAATACCAAACGTGACTGAGTGAATAATCGAGGGATAAAAAATGCCCTTCAACCCTAAAATTTAATATGTAAACAATATGAATCAAATATCCAATTTGTATAGTAAGTACGCTTTTTAGCTCCGTTTTTTTATTTTTTTTTATTTTGTCTTAGTTTAATGATATTGGCTTATAGATTTATGAGAAATTCGATTAGCAAAGTGGTTTTTTCACAACAAATAAAGGATGTTTTAGACTTTTTATGCCACCATTCCAGAAATCATCAATTAATTCCAGGTACATTTGAGGAACTGCACACCCCTTACTTTGAGGGAAATTACATGAAAGTGATATAATTTTTGACATTTTCCCCTCTTTTGTCATAATATTTTGCACATCTTGTAACTGTCTAAATCAATATTTATAATTTTTTTTATTAAAGACCTAGCTATTATTAATTGTCACTTCTAGATCATTTTCTCATCAGTAATTTCATTATGACTTAGTTGTCATGTATCGAAAAAAAGATAAGGTACTTTTTGTTGTTGTTGCACAGATTATTGATATAGGACCTGAAGTTTTCTCTCTTTTTTACAGTTTATGTGCAGTGAATTCTTTGTATTGAAGGCAGATTGGCTTCACTTGTTATTTGTTTTTGCATTCGCAATCACTTTGCTTCCAGACAATTGACATGCCATTTTGGAGGTAAAGTGATATTATTTCTTCATATAGTTTATTAAAATTTCAATCTCATGCTCCATGGCATTTATTGCTTTTGATTTTGAACTATTTTGCTATCTCAAATTTAAGGGGAAAAGTTATATTTAAGAATTCTCTGTAAAATAGATTGAAGTTTAAAAAGTCTTTAAAAAATTGATATTGTTTCTGATCACCAAAATTTATGTCAATTATTTCAAATCAGAAATATTTTTGTTTTTGTTTTCATATTTTGTCCAGTTGTCAACAAATAACATCCATTTAAATAGCATGTAATTAATTAAAATCACTTGCCATGTTGTGCCTGTTAGATCAATAATTTTTTTCTTAACCTTTGTTCTCATTTATTTAATCTTCTATTGTACACTTGTTCCTACTTTTATAGTGTAATAAAAAGTAATTATATTATCCCTCGTCCCTTCTATATTCTAAAGCGACTAATTATTTATACGTTTTTTAACTCATTAAATAATAAATAAGTTTAGTTATATTTGTAGTTAATTCTCAACTCATTCAATAATTATACTCGTATATATGAACACTCAATATCCCATATACAATGATCTCGAATAACATACATGTAAAGCATCCCAATAGTTAGACTATGACTTCACAAGCAATTTTAATTTAAATTTCGTTACGTATTTGTGAAGCATTATATATCATTTTTGGAGTCTTGATTTTAATGTCTTGTCCATATCAGACGGCGTTTCCTGGGGAAGGTATTTTAACAGATCTTGCCAAGAGATTGGTGGATAAAACTATAACAGAAGTCAATTATTTTCTTCATTTCAAGACTCATCTTTGCGAGTTTGAGCAACAACACAATGAGTTGGATGCAAAATTTGAAGAAGTGAATAATGATATTGAAGATGCCAAGAGAAGAAATGAGAACCCAACCAAAGATGTTGAAGTTTGGAAAGACAAAGCTTATATTCTAATTCAGGAGAATCATAGAATCAAGCAAACATGGTCTTATAGTTCATGTCCTCATTGGAGATACCGACAAGGCAAGAGGTTGGCAAAGAGGATGCTACTTATTAAAGATCACATACAAAAGTTTAGCTTCGAAAGAGTGGCGCGTCCAGCTAAACTTCCAGGTATCAAATACCATGCAAGAGATTTCATTGATTTTGAGAGCAGAAAATCAAAATTGAAACAACTTGTGGAAGCTTTAAAAGATGGAAATCATTACATGGTTGGGTTGCAAGGGATGGGGGGAACAGGCAAAACCACATTGGCAACACAAGTGGGCAAACAACTTGAAGAATCCAAAGCATTTGAGAATGTCATCTTTATTGTCATGTCCAATCCTCCAGATATCAACAAGATTCGAGGAGACATTGCAAGACAATTAGGATTGCATTTAGAGGAAACAACGGAAGCTGATCACTCAAAGCTTTTGTGGTTTAGAATTTCTAATGAAGAAAGGAAATTACTTATAATATTAGATGATGTATGGGAAAAGCTAAATCTTACAGACATTGGGATTCCATTTGGACCTAATCACAAGAATTGCTATGTTTTGATAACCACTCGCCATTCAAGAGTTTGTGAAGAAATGAGATGCCAAAAAACAATTCACCTACACACATTAATAGATGAGGATGCATTGAATCTTTTTTTGTTTCATGCTGCAAGTAATGATGGTTTTTTGAGAAAAGAGTTAGAGGATCTTGCACGAGATTTTGTGAAAGAGTGTGGAGGATTACCAATTGCAATTGTATCGCTAGCTAGCACATTAAGAATTTGGCCAGTAAGTGAATGGAAGGAAGCTTTGGCAACTTTAAGAAAATCTGAGCAATTTCTTAATGTTGATGAAGATTTGGTTCAGGTTTATAGATGCTTGAGCTTAAGCTATGAGAATATGAGAAATGAGAAGGCCCAAAAGCTCTTTCTATTGTGTTCTATTTTTCCAGAAGACTATAAAATTCCTATAAACTTTATTATTAGACTCGGTATAGGGGCAGGAATTTTTGGCAAAGTTGAAGATTATTGTGTAGCTAGAAGCCAAGTACTTGGAGTGAAAAATGAACTCGTAGCTTCTACTTTGCTGTTAAGGTTGATGAGGAAGAATGTGTAAAAATGCATGACTTAGTTCATGAAGTGGCTCTATGGATAGCAAAGGAAGATATTCAAGTGATTGTGGACTCAAGGACAACTTTAGAAACAAGCAAGCGATATGTGTTTTGGAGTACTAATGATTTTCCAGATCAGTTTGATGGTACAAAACTTGAGATTCTATTCCTTTGGATAAAAGGAGACGTTTTAGTGAAAAACCCAGAAACATTATTCGTAGGGATGGCAAGCCTCAACATTCTTTTTTTACTTGGCAGGCCTAAGAGGCATTATATTCCATCACTGTCACAATCACTTGTTTCATTAAAGAATATGCAAACTCTCATCTTGGATGGTTGGGAATTAGGTGACATCTCTATCTTGAAAAACCTACAAAGTCTTGTGACTCTTGAGTTGAACAATTGTTTAATAATTGAATTACCCAAAGTTATCAAGGAACTAAAGAAGTTGAGATTGTTGGGATTAAGGGAGTGTGAAATTCAAAAGAAGAATCCTTTTGAAGTGATTGAAACATGTTCCCAATTGCAAGAACTATATTTTGTTGAGAATAAGAATGTCAGAGATTGGAAGCTAGAGGATGACAAAGAAACTAAAGATGAAATTACTCATGATATATCTCCTCCTATATTGGAAATGTTTTCTATTGCTTGTGATGGTTTCAAATATTTTAGTAGTGATGATAATGGTTTGTTAAAATGCTTCAATACAAAACATGCGAAAGATTTAATTTCAAAAGCCATGTTTAAGTACATTCTAGGAAGAGTAGAGGTTCTTGAGTTGGGAAAAATGGAAGAAATAGGATGGAAATGTCTCATCCCTGACATAATTCATATGGAAAATGGAGGCATGAATGACTTAATTAAGCTTTGTTTGAATGAATGGGATGAGATTGAGTGCCTAATTGATACTAGGAAGCATCATTATTCAAAATCCTTCTCCAAGTTAGTCGAGCTACATCTGAATGGTGTGAATGTGAAAGAATTGTGTGCTGGTCCTTTTCCTTCTGGCTTTCTTAAGAAGCTACAAATTTTGAGGTTAGAGAGGTGTGAAAAATTGCACAACATATTCTTTGATGTCAATTTCAAAGTTCCTCATCTAAAGGTTTTGACGTTAAGGGATTGTCTCATGTTCCAACCATCAATTTTCCCACTCTCTATTGCTCAAAGTCTAGTGCAATTGGAAAAATTTACAATTACAGATTGCAACGAGCTAAAAAGTTTAATCACATATGAGAGTCTGGGAAAAGAATTAGGAGGTGTTTATAATCAAAAGAGTCGTGACTTCCTATTCCAAAATTTGAAGCATCTTAGAATTGAAAGATGTCACAAACTAGAATTGGTGTCACAACTCTTTTTGGCAGGAGACCTTCCCCTTTTAAAAGAGATATATATAAGGGATTGTAAGGAGCTGAAATACATATTTGATGAATACCAAAATGAGGGTCGTGTTTTGCATCAAGAGATTATGCTTCCTTCCTTGAAGACAATGTTCCTTTATTTTACACCAAATTTCATTAGCATGTTTCGAGAATTTAAGAAATGTATGCCAAGGCCATCTCCAGTTTTGAAAGAAGATTTAAAGGAGAAACATGAAAACTCCAAGAGGGGTGCTTTCTCATGGGCTCCTCGATGTTGTTTTCTACTAGCAACTAAAGACATTGATAATATCAAAGCATCCAATGGCACAATGCAACAACACCATCCAATTTCACCGGTATGTTACACTTGTCCCACTCTTTGTTCAACATTTATTTTGTTAAGTTGTTCAAGCTATTTAATTGGCATTTGATTAATTAAACTTGAATTGTAGTATAGATGAGCTATAAATAATATTTCTCATCTAAGGTGTGCTGAGATGTCATATATAAAGAGGATTATATTGCAATAAAACTATTCTAAGAGGCTTGATCTATTGAAAATATGAAAATGCCATCAGAGAAATGGTGAAGTGTGTGTGTGTGTACGAATGACAGGTTATATCTCTGCAAAATACAGTTGATCAAATTGCTAAAAATACAATTTAATAAATTTCTTGGAGACACGCTAATTATAATAGTTTTAACGAAAAATTCTTTAACATGTGAATGGATAGTAGTAAGTCATAGATCATAGGAAATTGATGAGATTTCAACTATCATTGTTAAATGAATCAATGGTCAAATTCTATGGCTTTTTTATGTGGATATTCAACTTTTTTGTTATTTTATTTCTAAGACGGGGATGTTTAGCATCAAGAGGCAAGTATTTTGGTTATTTAGTTATTATTTCACTATATTTGATGAATTTATCTTAAATGCCAACTATGACACGTGACAATTTATAAAACACATGATGCTTGACACATTTGCTTTTCATTTATTATATGGTTTTCCCCTAAATTCAATGTAATTGCATTAGATGATAGAATTAGTTATGATTTATTCTTTTTTCATTGAGAAATTAGTTATGAGTTGAACATAAGCAAAAACATGTTTTGTAGGAATTACCCACATCAATTGAATTGATTCAAACATTTCATGAAGCTGAGTGTCTTATGAGTAATAAGCGATTGAGATTACAGAATATCAAGCATATGATACTTAAAGGATGTTTAAAATTGAAGTCATTGTTCAGCATATCAATTGCCACAACCATCATGTTGGAGGAATTGGCAATAAGCTACTGTGATGAATTGAAGCACATAATAACAAATGAAGCAGAAGATGATGACTATTTTAACTGCACCTCTATCTTTCCAAATCTAGAAAGGCTCCAAATTTGGAATTGCAATAAGTTGGAATTTATATTTCCATCCACTTTTTCTGGAGGTCTTCAAAAACTAAAAGCTATAGTTATTGATAAGGCTTTTGAATTGAAACATGTTTTTGGAAAATATGACCATGAAGATTATGTATCAAATGAGAATGAAAATGATGAGCCTCACATTGATCTTCCTGCACTGGAAATACTATCCCTCAAAGAGGTACCAAATATTATCAGCATTCATATCAAGAAATATCATCTAGAATGCCCATCTCTACAAACTGTGGAAGCACCAAAGGTAATTTTTGTTTAATTTATTGCTTTATATCAATTTTATCATGCTATATTTTTTGGCCCAAAATATATTGATCTGCATGTTTTCCTGTAATTCTGTGAAATTTCGCTTAAAAGAAAGTTATTTGCGAGTATACTGTTAAGTTTTCAAATTTTTAAGCTTATATATATATATATATATTGACATTTTGATTACTGAAAAATGATTGAAAGTTATTTAAATATTGGGAATCTAAACCAAAATGCATGATTTATTATTTCTATTTGCCCCATAGAGTAGTTATATGAAAAATATTTGAGTAAAACACACTAATCACCCTTTTCTTATGCCTTAATTATACAAACCTCTCCAGAATTTTGAAAACTCATAAACCTTTCTTAAAATTAAAATATATGTTACATAAACCTCCCTTGTATATTTGAGATTTTATTTTCATCCATCCAACTATTAATTAATTGACCTTGAAATTTAACTTTTAAACTTTTAATTTGACCAAAATGTCATTCTAAAAATCTATATTTGCAAAAAAAAAATTTTATACAACTAAAAAAAATATAATAAATACATTTTGAAATTTTTATTACATTATAAAATTTATTAATTTTTATCATGTTGTAAAATTTTAACTTTTATCAAATTTATTGAAACTTATTTATATGTTTTGAAAAATTGCTAAAAATATATTTTAAACCCATATTTTTTCATCATATAACATAAAATGATATAAATTCAAGGTATTATATAAATAATGTAAATTTAAAATTTAAAATTTGTCAACGTGGTTTTTTACACAATGAAATTATGTAACTATCAAAATAATATAATTTAGGATTTTTTACGGTGATGGGTAAATTAGTAAATAAAATTTGTTTTAACGTAAATTTTAATTTAAAAATAAGTTTTTAGAATCTTTTTAGAATATTCTTGATAGGCTTAGTGGATTGGATTAACTTGTATGTTTTCAAAATAAAGGGAAGGTATGTGTAATTAAGGCAAAATAGAAAGGTCATAAAAGTATTTTACTCAAAATATTTTCAGGAAACAAAATAAAAAATATACTTAGAAAAAATTGAAATAGGTGTATTTCTCATTTCATTTTCTGAAAAAAATATTTTTTTTATCTACCAAATATTGTATGAGTCAAGGAATGACAAATAGGTCATAAAAAGATCAATTAATTTAAATTAGGTCTCAAATGCCAAACTCTAGGAATTTATAAGTTTTTCTCTCAATTTTGTAATTTTATTGTAATGAATTTGTAACTTGTTTTTCAAATTTTAACATGGTTTAAGAATAAAAAAAATTATTTTTTCTGTTAAAATTTAGAACACAAGTTGCAAATTTATCATAATGAAGTTGCAAAATTAAAAGTTGAACTTGCAAATTCCTGAAGTTTCACTTGGGACCTAATTTAAATTAATTGAAGACCTCTTTATCATTCTCCCTTAGAGTCAAAGCAAGCCTATGGAGCATTTTCCAGTGGTGACAAATACATACATACTTATGTACGTACGTACATACATACATACATTTGTCAAACTGATATATAGACACAATTTTAAAATTTAGGCCAAATAATTTTGTGGTCCCTTAACTTTGAAATAGGTTTTATTTTGGTTCTTTAAATTTATTAAGTTTCATATTAATTTTTTAACTTTTGACATTGTCGACATTTTTCTAATCTTTCTAGTTACGAAAAATGATTATTTACCTATTCAAAACCTATACTAATAATTTTGTTATATTTAAACTTTTTATTATAACATTAAAATGAGGTAAAATTATAAATAGGTCCCCATCAAGAGATTTATTTGTAAGTAATTCTCATGAATTTGTAAAAATACTTTCAAATCTCATGAGACTTGGTTGTAATTAATTTAACAAGTAAAGTGACACAAATACCCTTGGATTCACGCCATTTGACTAGTGTTGACCAATTTTGACTGACCACTGGTCGGCATTGATCAATAAAAAATACTTTTTTGAAAATGTTTTTATTATATTTTTATATTTAAATATTTACAAGTAAAACATAGCATATTTAAAACATATCTTTACAGGTATTCTATATAATAAATCAAGTTTCTCCGCTTCATATAACTCACTGCTTATTGAGATCCGTTAATAGTAGTATTGGGGAATCTCACAGCTTGATAATGTTTTAATTTAAAATATATTGTATGTGATTGATCCAAAATCTTACTGATTTGCACTCTCACTAAGTGACTTAGATAGACCATATTAATTTTATATTGAAATGGCACATATACTTATTAATGCTTAGATATGTATAAGAGTATGACTCTTCTTCGATATTGTATTATCTATGTACTAAACTTTGATGAGAGATGACTTTTGAATTTATACTGAAATTTTGAATGGATAAATCTTCATTAGGACTTGATCATGAAATTTATCAAGGATACGCCAATGGTCAGTCAACGTCAGTCAAAGCGTTGTGAGTCTGAGGACTTAACAGTATTTCCACAACTTAGTGGGACTTATTTTTAAATAAGTTCCTCATGTGGACTCATTTTTTTTGTTTTCCCCTTAAAAATAATTTTTATTTTTTGAATCCTTAAATTATATAAACTTTATTTTGGGTTGCTAATACCTGTTTCCAGATGTTGAAAAAATTACAATTATAAGAACAATTTGACTCATTTCTTATATTTTACGTTTGAGTTTTGAATTTTCAGAATTGGTTAAATAAATAAAAAAATTATTTTAAAGTTATAATTCTAATAATTTTATTAATATACTTTAAAACTGATTTAGTTTATGGTTGTTATTTTTATATAGTAAATAAAAATATTTTCAATTTTTATTCTTGATGCGTAAATTTTTTTATTTTAAACATAAAAAATATTTTTTATAGTAATTAGATTATTACATAATAATTTTAATAAAATGAATTTTGAGCACACAAGTTATCATTTTCTATTAGCTTATTTAACCACGTTAAGTAGTAAAATGTTTTGGTTACATTTTAAAAAGTAAAGAATTAACACAGCTAAAGGACTGCAATGAAATCTATTATAAAGTTAGAGAGACCAAATGCATGTCATGTCCTAAAATCGTTGGCTAAAGTTTAGAAAATTAAAATTTATATTTTAGTTCTCGGGTTACAATTCATTTATACTAATTATCTTTTGAAGAAATTTAAAAAATTATGACTAACTTTTGAATATCATATCAACATAGTTGGAGTATCCATTTTAGCTCTTTGAATACTCTATAGGGACAAAATCCTTGACTGTATATGTTGCCTAAAAAATTATAGTGTTGAAATACTTTGTACGTAGATGATGTAGATCTTATCATAAAGAAAAAATTTTAGCCAATATTTGTTACATAGATTACGAAAAGAAAAATCTTACACGAGCGGAAAATTTAATGAATAGAAAGTGCATGAAGGTAGAAAAGAAGAGTTATAGAAAAATTTACAGGGCAAAAACATAGAAAATATCAAGCAGAAAACTGAATTGAAAAAGCTGTTCTAATGGAATAGAAGCATGCTTAGAAGTAGGTTTGTTGATTTTACTTAGTAAGTGCTGATTTAATTGTTTGATTTAGTGATAAACCAAGCAGGTAACCAAATCAATGAAGGATTAAAAAAAAACAAATCAATGAAGGATAGATGTATGATGGGGAACCAATTAATAGAACCAAAGATGAATCATATCGTAATGTTTACAATCTTAGAAATTTTGCAAATGGATCACGCATATTTATACACATTTGTTTTTTTTTTTTTTGGGTTTAAAATTGGACTATTTGGAGGCTAAGTTTCACAGAGGGGGGATGCTTAATTTTTATTGTTGTTTGGAATTGTATTCCCTCTTTTATAAAACTTGCAGGAATTTAATATGCAGATGCAATATGTGACAAGTGAAGGAGCTAAGGAATCTGAAAAACAAGAGATTGTTAATGTTGGAAGACTAGTGATTCCAAGTATGGCAATCGAATATGTTCTCAACTTCCATAATCTTAAAGAAATAGAAATCCGACGATGCAAAAAGTTGAAAACTATGTTTGTTTTATCTTCCTGGAGAAACCTATCACAGTTGTCCAAGTTACATATAGAATATTGTGACGAATTAGTTAACGTGGTTGAAGGTGATTCTAAGAATTATGATCACATCAATTATAGCTCCATTTTTTCAAAGCTGGAGGATCTCGAAATCTGGAGCTGCAACAAGTTGGAATTTATATTTCCTTACTCCTTTTTTGGTGGTCTTCAAAAATTAAAATATTTGAGTATCCAAGAAGCTGGAGAGTTGAAATATATTTTTGGAAAATATCATCAAGGAGATTACACATCAAATGAGAGCGAAAGCGATGAGGTTCACATTGATTTCCCAGCTTTGGTAGATCTATATCTCAGTGATGTACCCAATATGATCAACATTTGTGCAAAAAAATGTCACCTGAGCTTGACATCTCTACAAAAGATCGTGTTAGATGGCTGTCAAGAGATAAACGGAAAATCTTTTCCAGATTTGATGATTTGTTTACAAGGCAGACAATCGAACGTGAAAACTGAAAAGGTAATAATACATTTGCCATATTGTTTTATGACCTGTATTGCTTTGTTGATTTGGCCCTTGGAAATTTTTTATCACAAAAAATTGTTTAGCATTTACACATAGAAGTAATATAGTTTTCATACAAAAAAATTGTTTGCATTAATTTATGGCTTTGTTGATTTAATTAGGCATAACCCATGTATACAGGCATTCTGTACAATAAATCAAGTTTCTCCGCTTCATATAATTCAATGCCTATTGAGATCCATTAATAATAGTATTGGGAATCCTCACAGCTTGATGATGTTTTAATTTAAAATATATTGTTATTGATCCAAAATCTTGCTGATTTGCACTCTCACTGTAACTTAGATGGACCATATTAATTTTATCTTGAAATGGCACATATACTTATTAATGATTAGATATGTATGAGAATATGACTCTTCTTTGATATTGTATTATCTATGCACTAAACTTTGATGAGAGATTACTTTTGAATTTATACTAAAATTTTGAACGGATAAATCTTTATTAGGGCTTGATGAAAATTATCAAGGATATACAAAAGTTAACATACCTTAGAGTGAGCAACTCCAAAATAGAAGAGGCCTTTAATTTAGAAGAAGTGAAAATTGAAGGTCCAGTGACGTTGAGCTTACAACACGTGTGGTTGCAAAATCTAAGTGAATTGAGGCATATATGGAAGGCTCCCAAATATATATTGAGCCTCCACAACCTTCAGAGACTAGTACTCAAAGAATGTAAAAAGCTAAGATCAATCTTCTGTGTCTCAATAATGAAAAGCCTCCCATCATTGTCCTATTTAGAGATTGAAGACTGTGAAGAATTAGTTCATATCGTTGAAGAGGATTATGACGAAAGTGCTCATGACCAATTCCATAAACTTTTCTTCCCAAAATTACAAAAAATTCTCATCAGGCGCTGTAAGAGCTTGAAATGCCTTTTCTTGATCTCAACATCTGCCATGTTTCCAATGCTGATAATGTTGCTAATAGAAGAATGCCCTGAGATGGAGCAAGTATTTGCATGCAAACAACATTATACCCAGAAGATAGTGGAACACGTATTTCCAAAACTGACATATCTAATACTTAGAAAACTACCAAGGCTTATTACTATTTGTGGGGAGATTGATTTTCATTCTATAGAAAGCTATCAAGTGGTTGATTGTCCCAAATATCAAGGTATGAATTTGTGAAACATTATTACTTCACATAATTGCTAGTTTTTAATAGTACTAATATTATAGTCAAATTTTCCACAGAAATTACTTCTCAGCTTCAAGGAGGGCCTGAAAATCTTGATTATGAAAATCAAGCATCAACAGAGGAGCTACTTTATGCTCATTACAATAATGCTCATCAAATGTCACATATGGGAGAAACAAGTGCTTCCCGAAACTTCTTAGAGGTATGCTAGACTGATCATTGAATCAGTTAATTTTATTCTAAACTTGTTCACATATTATTACTTGTCAAGTTGGTTAGAATTATAAGGAAGCAAAATAGAACAAATATTGAAGAAGATCACGTTTCAAGGACATCATCAATGGTACCATTGAATCTAACATTCACGAGAAGACTTGTTTGTATATTATTGGGTACTTGGAAGGGTTCAAATGAACTTTTTAATTAACAAGCTGGTACTCCTAATAAAACAAAAGGACTATCAAAGATTCTGAAAAATTATTGGAAATATCAAAGATATGTTGTCGAATTAGAACATTCAAGACATGTTTGTACAATGAAAAAATTAGCACGAATAAAATATATCCTTCGACATTGTAGAGTAAGGAGGAAACAATAATGGAAAGGGAAAAACTTATACACTTAATTAAGGTACTTGTTTCCAATTAAATCAAGACATGTATATTTATGATAGATTATTTATTTTATTATAAATTCTTGTTATTAATATTATTAACATATTAAAGTTCACATGTCTTGATTTGATTGGATGAAAGTATATTAAGTATGTAAGGGCAAGTATATAAGTCTTGTCCTAATGGAAATTGAATCCAAAGGTCCTACTCCAGTGTTAGAGAAACAAGCATTGGAAACTGCAACTTGAATCACAATCTAGAAGGACATCTCTAATGCTAATGTTTTTTTGCTAATTATTTAATATTTCTAATAGGGGTTGGAGGATGAATACATAAAGAAGGAATCAATCGCACAGCCCCAACATCAGGATCTTGAAGAAACAAAATCATCCATTGAAGCATGCCACAAAACTAATATACCATTTCACGATGATGTGCGTCGCAACAATGAATATTGGTGATTTTGAAGTGACCTCTTTATAAAATATGATATCTTTACTATTTTGTGTTGTTCAGAGTATTGATGACAAACTAAAAGAAAGAGTTCAAGAGGGTTCTACCTCAGAGGACATGGTGCAAGCAACTCTGTTAGCTGATTTAGCACCAAGGAACTCATCTTCAGCATTCACCACTCCTCTCCAAGAAGAGTTCCCATTGGTTAACGATTTGTGTCTTATGCCTTTTTTAAAATAAAGGATTAGGAATATACTAATTAAATGGCTTAAGCTTGTGCCTTTTTCTATATGTATTGCTTGTTTTAGGATTTGACAAAGATAGAATCAAGAAGAGAAACAAGTATGACACGCCAGCAAGAACTAGGAGAAATAGTGACTGTTGTGTACTATGAAGTTTGAACTCTTTAAAAATTATTGTCATAATTCAAAAATATGATACTTATATATTTTTTGGTACTTTTGTAGAGTGTTGTTGAAAGCTTTCTAGAAGACACTACAGTTGTGAAAACTAAAATGGTTACTTCCTCAATTTATTCACAAGGAGGGGGCTTAAAACCCAACCTATTAGCATTGGTGAGTTCCCAACATTCAGTTTAAACTTATAGAATGTTTTTATACATTTAAGCTTAAGTACCATCTGTTGATTACATCTTCACATGTAAATACCAACAAACCTATGGCATTTATCTAGCCTTAACTTTAGTTTTATTATTTATATATTTAAATGTTATATAAAAAGAATTTAATATTGGAGAAAGAAAATATATATGAATTAATGAAGTTGAAGGATGCATTTGCTTTAATCTTAACTCTGTGAGTAAGGATCTCAACCACACCAACTCTGATGAAGTAAAAGCGAATGATTGATATTCTGATTTTACACTTGATCTAGTAACTACTGTTTGTTTCTTTAAGGACCATAATACTAATGATCCACCAAAGTAAACAAGATAACCTCCAATAGATCGCCTATCATTTGGACATGCTGTCCAATCAGCATCAGAAAAAGTAACAAAATCAAGAAAATCAAATTTCTTGATGTGCAGACTAAAATCAAGTATGCCTTGTAGATATCTCAACAATCTTTTTACAACTTGCCACTAAAGTTGTGTTGGACAAGATATAAATTGACTTAATTTACTCACTGCAAATGCTATATCGAGACAAGTATTAGCTAAATACTGTAGCGAACTAACAATCCTATGATAATCAACACTTTCATTGGTATTCAAAGGATTATTGTCAAGACGAGACAATGTTTGTCCTGAGGTCATTATTGTTTTGCAAGTAGAAGAACTATTCATATGACATCTTTTGAGTAAATCACTAATATACTTTCCCTGATTGAGATAAAAACCATTCTTATCTCTAGTTATTTCAATCCCTAGGAACATAATGAATTGGCCTAAGATCTTTAAGAGAGAAGACTTCATTAAGACGTAAAATAAACTGATGCACGCTTTTTGAATTACTCCTAGTAACCAAAATATCATCAACATAAATAAGAATAATGAGAATTTGCTCACCATTTTGGAAAAAGAACAGAGAGTTATCGCTTCTGCTGTTTTGAAACTTCCATGGAATAAGAATGGATCTTAAACGTTCAAACCAAGCACGTGGAGCTTGCTTCAATCCATAGAGCGCCTTCTTCAAACGACAAACATGATGAGGCTTTGTTTGATCAACAAAACCTTTCGGCTAAGCCACAAACACTATTTTTGTCAAATAATCATTCAAAAATGCATTATTTATATCAAGTTGTTGAATAGCCCAAGATTTAGTTGCAGCCAAAGTAAGAACAACCTAAATCGTTGAAGGTTTAATCATAAGATTGAAAGTTTCACCATAATCTACTCCAGGAGCTTGTAAGTAATCCTTGGCTACAAGTGGAGCCTTATATACCGCTCAACAGTATTATTTGGATGAAGTTAGTTTTAAATACCCATAGACATCTAACAACATTTTGAGAAGGATGAAATGGAACTAATTCCTATGTCTTATTTTTGACAAGTGTTGAATATTCAGCATCCATCACCACCTTCTAATGTGGAAGATAGAATGCTTCAAGTTCGAGGTTCAAGCTGAAGAGACTCTAAATCTGACTGAGTTAAGCCTACAAAGGATGTTTTAGCTTGAAGATCCCATGTTTGGAACGTGTAATCATGGGATGCACATTGGACATTGAGTTTGTGGACTGGATATCATAAACACATGTACCAACATCAGGTGACGCGGGAGACTCAGACTCACGAGAAGTAGTAGGCTTGTCTAAATCTGGACCTTATGGTATTATAATGGGCTCAATAGATATTAGATATTCAGTATACTCAAAGACTGATCTTGGACTTAAAAATGACATTTCTTGACTGGAAGATGACATCATATCATTAAGTAGCACAAGAGGAGACTCATCACCGCTAGCTACATTATTAGAAGCTAGATGAGAGTGCTCTATTCAAGAACACGTAGAACAAGGTACAATATCTGGAAGCCATGACTGAGAATTATGCTAATTAAAAATATCTGATTCACATGATATACACTGCTTAGCTTGTCCTGCGAAAGGAAAATTATTTTCATTAAAAATCACAGGTCGAGAAATAAATATTCTTCCAGATGGACTAAGGCACTTATAGCCTTTGTGTGCAGGACTAGAACCCAAATAAGTGCACCTTTCACTTCTGAACTTAAGTCTATGTTTGTTGTAGGTCTTAAATAGGGAAAACACACACAACCAAAAATCTTGAATCCACCATAATTCGATTTTACTTGAAATAAAACCTCAAAAGGAGACAAATCATTTAGAACAAGAGTAAGTAATCTATTTATGACATATACTACATTCATAAAAGCTTCCCACCAATACTGTAGTGGCATTGAAGCTTGAGCAAGCATGCTCAATCCTGTCTCAACAATATGCCTATGCTTGCATTCAACTCTGCCATTTTGTTTAGAGGCGTGTGGACATGGATGATGGAATTGTATACCAACATCTGAGAGAACATAAGTAAAACTCCTAAACTCACCAACCCAATCACTTTGTAAAACTTTAATTTTTCGATCAAACTAATTCTCAACTAAATTTTTAAATTGCATAAATGCTGAAAGTGCTTCTCCTTTTAAACGAAGAGGATACAACTAAGTGAATCAACTATAATCATCTACAAAACTTATGTAATACTTAAATCCAGATTTTGAATTAACGGGAGTTGGACCTTAAAGATCTATGAAAACAAGTTCTAGTGGTGCTTTACTACATGATTCAAACACAAGAAATGGTAGCTTGTGCATTTTACCATATTGACAAGCATCATAAAATTCAAAACTCTCATTACTATCACAAGAGATATTACATTGTTTCAAAACTTTATGAATTGTCTTGCATGTAGCATGACCCAAACGTCTATGCCATGTATTTAAAGCAACAAGACAAACAACTGATTTACTAGTATTATTGTGATCAAAATAACACTGAAAAACTTGCGAACTTCCTTCAACTTTATAAAGACCTTCACATCTCTTTCCTTTAAGCAGTGTTCTGCCTATTCTCAAATCCTTAATAACACAACAATTAGAGAAAAATTGAATCAGTACATCACTGTCCAAAACAAGCTCAGAGACACCAAGTAAATTTTTCTTAATTTCTAGAATAACAAGAATATCTTTTAGCAACAACTTATCATTAAACGCACAAGATATAAAACCATATGCATGACTTGTGACATTACTGTCGAATAGCACCAAAATTAATAAAAACTAAATTTTACAATAAAGCGCAACCTAGGTCGTCTCCCTAAGAGATATTACATTGTTTCAAAACTATTTGAATTATGGTTATGAAAAAGTAAATGATGGGGGGGTTTTTTAATGAAATTAATTAAAAAATATAAATTAAAATTAGATAAATAAAGAAAATTCAACTGAGAAAATTATCAAAAACAAGCAGCACAATCAATCACAATCCAATCACCTAAATTTAATCTTCCTCATCCATAAATTAAATTAATTTTATTTAACTTTATTATTCTGGTTTTATTATTTATTTCTCAAATTATCATTCAAGAATTAAACAAGAAATTAAGTTATAGATTAATTGAGATCTCCTTCAACCTACAACCTAACTGTTCCATGTTAGCCACACCAGAAACAAAGCATGGATAATCACCCATGCTAGGCCAAATTACTCTTATGTTACTGTATCAATCGATTATAGCAACCAAAACCTCAAATAAAATTTATAACCCAAAAATTATGCAATAAAGCCACTCTAATCAGCAATGGCAGTTAAAGCATAAAATTCAGAGGTAGGGAGAAGAAGAGCAAATTAAAATAAAGTTAAAATAAAATCTTCTTTGAATATCAAAGACTCTAATTAAAACTTAGGATCATAGTTTGTGATTGATCACACCAAAAAATTAGCTATTTATAGAACTGAAAATTAAAAAATATGAGATGAAAAATTGAGAAGCCATCACCCAAAAAATTGGAGGAAGAAAAGACGAACGGCGATCGCTATTCTATTTCCCTTTTCTTTTCATTAAAACCGCGGTCCCTTTTTTGCCTCTGTCCTAATATATATCTAATTCGTTCGTTGCTTTTGCCTTTATATTAGAAGTCATGTGGTGTGTGTCGTACGCCTCTTTCTAATTAAAATTTAATAATTTAATAAAAAATAAAACTACCATAAATAACCCTAAATGAAAACTACACTAAAATACTCAAGATAAATATAAACGAAATTTTTAAAATTTAATTCTTGATTTAATCTCCAAGCATGCCCATATTCTTCTTATCCAAAATATTTTCTATCAATATCTTTCAAATTGAATCTAAAAAATCTGTACAAATAAAATAAAATTAAATAGCACCTATGCAAAAATATTAAAAATATTATTTATATTTTAAAATCAAAGATTTAGTTAGTTAAAATCCCAAAACTAAATATTGGCTAATAAAATCAAATAATATCTAATTAAACCCAATTACCCTCAAATAAATATTTAAAAGTCTAAATTAAAAGGATAAAAATATATAAAATTATCATTTATCAACCTGTTATTGGTAAATCATGACCATTTCCAACTTTGAGAGTACCTGAATTTCTTGTGCCTACAGAGTTATCAATCACATTAGTCACATGGTTTGAAGCACCACTATCTAAGTACCACACTAGATCCTGCACAGTGTCAGACGTTGCAAAATATACAGTTAGTGAATCATGGTTACGATCTCTTAGAGAGAAATTTCGATCATAATGATGATAGCAATCTTCAACTATATGTCCAAGCTTTGTACACAATTGACATTCTACTCTATTATTACTGGACCTGAATCTTCTGTTTCGACCATGATAACCATGATTCCTACCAGAGGCACGCCATGCAGAATGAGTTCCTCCAGATAAACCCTGACTATCACCAGAGAAATGACTATTACAGAGACTCAAAGCAGTGAAAGAGTTACATACAACATTAACGTTGTGAAGATGTTCAAGGTGACGTTCATAGGTCAGCAAGGACGACTGCAACTCAATCCAAGTCAGGTTCTCCTTATTGGAGAGATGAATAACTATAGGAGTATATTCTCCATCAAGGCCTGACAGTGTTTGCATGACTAGATCCGAGAGAGGAAGAGGATGACCTGCAAGGGCCATGTTCTCTGACATAACTTTCATCTTGCTCAAATAAGCTTCCATTGTGAGAGAACCTTTCCTAGTTCTTTGAAATTCATTTCACATCAACGTCAAACAGGCTTTGGAATTCGCACATGTGAGGTCCATCACAGCACGCCATAATTGAGATGCAGTCCGGCAATACAAGTCTTAAGAAGAAATATCCAGAGTTAGAGACCCTAATATCCATCCATATATCAACTGATCGGCGGATTGCTAGTCTTCAAATGCTGGATTGACAATAACATCATTTCCTTGAGGAATAAATTCCGGTAGACTTGGTCGCATACCATTCATAAAACCCTCAAGTCTGTGTCCTCTTAGCACTAAAAGAACAAAGTTGTGCCATAAAAGATAATTGGATTTGTCCAACTTGATAGATCTTGCCCGATTGAGGCTGTTGAGAAGTAGAACAATCTTGGTCTGAATAGCTGGTGTACCTCTAATGGAAGGAATGAGTAAGGAAGAAGATGCCAAAGGAGTCGTAGAGGTGGAAGATGAGAAAAGAGATGGTGTTGTGGAAGAGACAAAGGTTGAGGTAGTGAATAACAGAAAGGTAGCCATGGACGCATGCTTTGATATCAAGACAAAATCTGACTGAATAGTACATACCCTCACAATGTGTGAGGTGCAAAGCAAGCCTTAATCATTTGTAGTGCAAGTTAGTTACAGGAGTAGTGTCATGTCATACAACAATAATGTGGAAAGAAGGCAATATAGACAATTAAAGAATAAAAGAATAATAATAAAAATAATGATACAGATCAACTAATCTTGGGCATGTTCTTTTTAATATTGGGCTGTATATTAGTGATAAGCTTGGACTTGTTGAGTTTGGATTTATTTCTAACAGCTTATATGTTTTTGGTTTTTAGAGCACTATCTAAGTTTTAAAGGAAATATTTGAAAATACTTCAAAGTCTCATCTCTGTTTGATTCATAATTCATAAGAGCACTTATATGTCCGCTAACATCTTTATTTTTGTCAGCACGTGAACAACTTGCAAGAGAATGTTTCTGCTTCAATGAATAAATGAAGTTACTTTATTAAACAAATTTAATCTTTTGGTGTTGTTTAGAGCTTAGAAAAAGGGAAGGAGGTTGTAGGAATAGCAACTGCTTTAGCATTAACCACAGGTTCATCAAATTCAAAGGAGATCCAAATGACATTTCCCAAGAAAATACATTCTATAGTCTATGAATTCATGATGTTGTGTGATTGAACAATTTTTTTTTCATTTTGATGTCACTCAGCTCTCAAAAATAGGGAAAGAAGCTATTGGAATACTTCTTAGTTTAGGGTCATCAATGGCTACAACTTCCTTAGATTTAGAGGTTATCAAAATCAAGTCTCCAAACTCTACATATTATTGACAAGAAAGTGGTTATAAAAAGGTAAAACTGACTCTCTTTTTTAATGATCGTCCAATGACTCAACAATAAGCACTTGCAGACTTGGATTGATTAGTGTGTTATGCCCTTTTCTAATATAATATTGGGAATATGCTAATTAAATGGCTTAAACTTGTATTTATATGTATATTCATGTATTGTTTTAGGATTTGGTGAAGACAAAGTTATAAAGTGAAACAATCATGACATACTTTCAGGAATAGGAAGAAATCTCACCTGTTGTATGCTCAGTCTTATCAGGCAATATTGCAGGACCTATCGGTTTTAATTAAATGACCAAATACTTACATATCCCTTTTGTTTGTACAGAGTGTAAATGAAAGTATTCCAGAAGACATTACACCTATGAAAGCTAAAATAAATACTTCCTCAATTTATTCACAAGAATCCTCACAATTGGATCCACCTGCAAGAGTAAGTTCACCGCATTCATTTTAAACTTGTAGCATTTTTTTCACTTTACAATTGTAAGTTTAGTTGGCAAATTGGCAACCATTCGTTACATCTTCACGGGTCAATAATAATAAATCTACACCAAAATATCTTGCCTCGACTTATTTTGCTATGTACACATATATATATTTGAATGAATTAGTCTATTTAAAAAATAAGTCTTGCGCATAAATGAAGTTACTTTATCAAATAAACTATATATTTTGATATTACTCAAATATTAGAAACAGGGGAGGCAGTTGTAATTATTCTCGAAACTGGGTTATAATCTTCACATGAAATTAGTTTCCAGCTGCGTTTGCCTTGACCGTTTTAATATATTTGCATAATATATGAAAATGGATAAAAGGGTGAAGACTAATCTTTTGTGCATTTTCATATTTGGTATTCTTTTTTATGATCAATAAACTACAAAAAAGCAAGCCAAATTTTAAATACAAATAAGAAGCAATTGGAGATATAGAAAATAAAATTAAAATTCCTGAGGAACTAATATATGCTAGTTTTATTCTCCACATAGTATTGCTGAACTTAATACTAGTTACTTCTTGGCAAATGCAACATCAGCGATACTACAACATTTCCTTCTCTTGTTGAGGTTACTTCAAGTTTTGAAGGAACTTTAGAACCAGGACTTTATGAGAATTATAGAACAGAGGAAATCAAAATAGCAAATCAATCAATTCATTTAGATTCAACAAAGCAATCTAGATTAATTGGTATCTCAGAAAAAGAACAGGCACAGGTCAGTTAATTATCCTTTCCGAATTAACAGAGGAACTTGAATATTATAGACTATAGAGAGGCTTTTTTTGCTTATTCATTATTATATAGTAGATGGGCAGACAATCACTCTCAAAAACATGAGAAGCTTATGAATGAATTTAACACTTTAATAGTTTGCTTTTATGTTCCTAATTTATAGAGTACTTGCGAAGCTTCAAAGGGAACTGTTGAAGAAGTTTCTGCTTCAAAGACATCATCGAAGTCAACTCAGCTTGACTCAGAATTCGTAAGAGCGCCTCTATGTCTCCTAACCTTAATAGAGCTCTAAACAACAACAAATTTGAAAAGTCTGCATCAAATTAACTACAACTAACATTTGGTTTTATGTAGACTAAGAAAGAAACAATGAATGCAAGTGTTCAAGAGGGACATAAAGCAAAGAAGGCTTCAAAAGTAAACCTATCAACAGACTCACAACGCTATTCGCCAAAGCCTGCAAAGGACAATACGGTCCTTGCTGATGTGATCCCTCCTCCTCTTCATCATCGTAAGTGTCTTTCTTTGTGTGACGATTTCGTGTTTTCCATTCAATCATCTGCTAACTTTCTTGGATATGACAGAAGCACAAATTGGTGTTGAAAGCCCTTCCTCCCCTACATTAGGAATTGGCGAAATTTTCCAAATAGTGGAGTTGAAAGATGGCGAACCTTCTTTGCTCGCTAATGCACTGGAGCGATATCCACAGCTAATGCTACCTCGTGAACAACGCACCAATCGAATCATAGCTTTGTCCTACAGAGTGCTCCTTGACATTTTGGTCATCCTTGCCACCAAGACTCCCCATACCATTACAGCATTGGATAGATCAATTCTGGAGGCGAACTTAGGGGAAGCGACTATTCTTGGTTTTGACAAAGAGTGGATTGAATCAGTTCGCACCAAAATTTCTGGCTCTGATAAGCTTGATGTCTTGGTGGCAGAGAAAGAGTTGAAAGATATGGAGGCGAAGCTGGAAACATATGAAATTGCGCTGGATGAGGTCCATAAGCAAAGAGCAGAAGCAAAAGAATGGCTTGAAGTAATTGATTCTCGGTTGTTGGGTCTTCTGGAAGATCGCAAGAAATTGGTTATCAAGATAGCAGAAATTAGGGAAATAGTAAGTGCCATGGATAAACCATTTGGATTTTAGGTTTCTTAATTATTTGGTTTGAGTTCATTACAGAAGTAGCACGCAAGTTATTTATATGATACAGAATTATAAACCAATTTCTGGTTCTGGGTACGTTCAGGCGTTCAGCACTTCGGCTTAATATTTTCAATGGATTGTTATAAAACAAAGGCCACATGGTGCTTGTTTGGCATCTCATTTGGTTGGCCCATACTATAGTTGGCATAACTAAAAGCTTAGTTAGAGATAAAAAATATGTTTAGGTAGAAGTAGGGGTGTAAACGGGCGAGTACGGGCCACCCGTGGCCTTACCCGTTACCCACCCGTTTATGGATAAACGGGTGGCTACCCACCCTTACTCATTTATACCCGTTTGCACCAGTTTTTTAGTCTGGGCGGGTCTGGGCCACCCGTTTACCCACAACACTCATTTTTTAAAAAAAAATAAAGAAAAGAACCAAAACATATGATTTTCATCCCACTATAACTTAACATAAGTACTTAAGTAGTATCATTCTAAAAGTTTAAATCTCTGAATAATATAAGAACAAATATTTTAACAGCAAATACTAAATAAACAAGGATCAATCATTTTAATTTTTAAAGTGAAAACTCATTTAGTCTCATTGATTCTCATTTATCTTCTTCGGAGTCACTTGATATAGCAGAAGATTGAGCTATTAACTCTTCCTCTACAAAACAAATTAAAACAATTAGATTAGTAAATAATAATATATATTATATAATATGGAGAATTAAAATGAATATAAATATAATAACTTATTCATATTATTATTACCATCAACAGCACGTAAAGTCTCATCAAAATAGTCAATATCAATCACTTCCAATGGGGTGCATGATGTTGATGATAGCCAATTCTGGGTGTAAATGAGTGCCTTGGCCATTTTTGAAGATAAGGAACTCCTGAAAGTATCTAGTACTCGACCCCCAGTACTAAAAGTAGATTCCGAAGACATTGTGGAGACAAGCATAGCCAACAAATCACGTTCAATCAAGCCCAGAACTTTATACTTGGAAGAATTCACTTTTCACCATGCCAAAATGTCAAAACTATCATCACAAGCATCAACTAAATCTGCATTTAGGTACTCTTCCACCTCTGAAATTGGTTTCTTTAGACGCTTACTTATTGCAGTGGCTAAGAAATCTTGCATTGCCACATCTATAATTTTTTTTAAAAGATGGAGGAGCTTGCTTCCCCCCACCACTGGCACTGCTATCCCCCACCTCTATACCAATTTCAGATGGTTCACTACTACTGGCTGTAAGAGTTGCAGAGTACTCATCAAACAAGCGATGCAAAAGCCCCATAATCTTCTTTTTCATCATTTCCCTCTTCGTGTAATCACCAATAAAATGTTTAAAAGCAACTTCAACATAAGAAAATTTGTATCTAGGATCAAGAATCACAGCTATCACCAACAATGGATTCATATTTTCTGCCTTTCCCCAGTACTTGTCATACTTACTTTGCATCCTTTCTGCCATGTCACTCAACAAAGAATTAGATTCAACTGCAATTGAATCCAATCATGTCTTAATTGCAACTATATTTTAAAAGCATGTGTTTGATGTGACATAATTTGATTCAGAAAATTGAAGAGTCATAGTATAGAACAACTCCAAAAAGGTGAGAAATTCCTTTGCCATACTCCAGTCATAGGCATTAGGAGGTTTAACTGTACCTTCATCACCATCATGATCACCAAGTTCATCTTCATCCTCCTCTTCCATCTTATCAACATAGCTTGAGCTGGAAGACAGTTTAACTTTCTTTTTGAAGTAGTTCTTGTAATCTTGATCCCCATCCTCCATTCTATCAAAGACTTTAGTGAACTTAACGGCATTCTGCAACATGATGTATGTTGAATTCCACCTATTAAGATAAGCAAAAGATTTAAATGTTAGAAAAAATTATATATCAGAATGCAAACAATCATAATTTAACAATTATGTAAATTACCTGGTGGGACAATCCATGCTAAGAAGACTCTTTGAATCAATTCTCAATTTTTCAACAAGCTTCTTAAATTTTTTAAGCCTACCAGGAGAAGATCTAATAAACTTGATTGCATGCCGAATAAGTTCAATAGATTAATTCATATCTTTAAGGCCTTCTGAAACAATTAAATTTAAAATATGAGCAGCACACCGCATCTGCAAGAATTCTCTATCACACACTAGACCTCCCAAATCCTTCAAACGCTTTTTTAAAAACACAATAGCAGAATCATTAGAAGAAGCATTATCAACTGTAATTGCAAATACTTTCTCAATACCCTAATAGAATAAGCATCCATCAATTTCATTGCCAATAGTATCCCCTTTATGGTTTTCCACCACACAAAAATTCAAAATTCGTTTCTGTAATGTCCATTCCTCATCAATCCAATGAGCTGTCAAACACATGTAGTTGGAATTTTGAATTGAAGTCCAACAATCTGCGGTAAGGGACACACAAACTTTAGATTTCTTAAAATACCTTTTCAAATGTTCCGCTTCTTCTAAATATATCTTGTAGCACAACTTAGCCATAGTAATGCGAGAGGGGCATGTAAATCTCGGTTCAAGCACTTCCAACATTTTTTTAAAACTTTGCCCTTTCACAACTCGAAATGGCATCTCATCCAAAATGATGAATTCAGCAACTGCTTTTTTACACCTTTCTGCATTATAAGAGTGATGAGTCATTGATTTACCAAAGGAAGCAGAGAGTAAGGACTGTCCCTCCTTGGCTTTGTTTGGATTCTTTGGGTAAGAATCAAAATGCCGCCAAAGGTTCTTAGTCCCAGTTTTAGAAGAATGGCTAGCAAAATCCTTTCCACAATAGTTGCATTTGGCCCGATGCTCACCTTTTTTGTTTATAAACTTCTCAAAATGATTCCACATTTCAGATGTTGTGCTCCTTTTACGTTTGGAGGGTGGTGCTTCTTCAACTTGGATAGGTTTAGACTCAATAGGTGCTGTGACGGTGGTGGTAGTTTTAGGTTCATGGTCCCCTTCCATAGCTTATACCCTATAGCCTTGTACATTTTCCATAGTGAATGTTAAAGTAAATACTATATAACAACCAAAACAAATCAATCATAGACATATTTAATGTTAGGTGCAGCACCTTAACAATCACACACAATACAAATATAATTACCAACAAGCTTTAAGAAATGGACAATGTCTTGTGAGAAAGACTAAAGAGTCTTGACAGACTTCAACATTAAAAAAATATGCCACCACCAGCAGTAAATTAAAGCAAATGTAGAAGTTTGTTTATAAACTTTCAATACACTAAATCTATCTAAAAATTTGTTTAAAATATAGAACTTTGTTTGCAATCAGTGAGAATTATAGGCAGAGCAAAGTACCGAACTAATAACAGCTAGCCAGAAAAATTAAACAATGTGATCAATATGAGGGGATCAGAGTAGGCTGCCATTATTTGGAAAAGGCCTACCTGGAGCATCAAAGTGAAAGGCATTTAATTTTAAAGTATGCTGCCACTGATCCATTTTCAAAGTAAGATGGTACTTAAAACTTTGAGTTATCATAGATCCCTTTACAACTTGGAGCATGCCTTTGGCAACATTACCAATTAAGATAACGAATCCACAGAAGCAGATTGAATCCCAGGTCTAAGAATGGATACTCTTTAAATTTTCTAAAAATCCACAATATATTATCCACATTGAATAAGACCCTTCAGTAAAATAGAAAAAATGAGGCACACTAGACTATCCATTCTCATTATCATACAAATGCAGAAAACGTGACAGCATTAAGGAAGGAAATGTCAATCAATTGCAGTTCATTATACTTCAAAAACAGAGCTCACCCATATAAGTTATGATTACGATATAGCGAATCAGCGATACTCGTATCAAAAATACAATACCTTACGATACTCCGGTGCTTATAAGGCTGTGAAAACTTAAAACATCACTCGCTACTGGCGAAGCAAAATGGAAAACTAGACCAGAGGATGAGAACCGAAGTGCCAGAGGACGAGAGGATCAGCTCGGCAGCTCGCAGCCTCGCACCTCGCAGCTCGGCAGTTGGCAGTCGCACACTCTGAGAGGACCGATTTAGGGCACAGCTGAGAGTGAGACTCTCACTATCTCACACATCGACACAGCTGAGAGGACGGGCATCCGGTTTCATGGGTCACAACAGAGCAGAGTTGGTTCACAAGTTCAGACTCAGTACTTCAGTTTCAGTGTTTCACGCCTTCGGTTTCAGCTTGAAACCAAAGTAGTTTTGGGTCTTTTTTTATTTGAAAACAATTCCCGGCCCAAAACCAAATACATCTCAGACAGTTAAACCCAATCTCCAGCCACAGCCAGTACTTTTTTTTTAAACATAAACGAGCGGGTACGAGCCACCCGTATCCTTACCCGTCACCCGCCCGTTTACTGATATACAGGTATATACCCGCCCATACCCGTTTATTTTACTTAAATAACGGGTATGGGTTGACCCGTTTAATAACGGGTTGGGCGGGTATGGGCGGGTATGCGAGTTACCGGGCAAATTGCACAGTCCTAAGTAGAAGTAGTTAGTAAATGGGCTTTTTTTTTCTACAACTACAATTAGGTTAAAAGCTAGCTTTTGTATCAATGGGTGTTCGATTGAGTTGGAAAGGATTACGGCCAACATTCCTAAGGGCGAGTGTTCAAACCCTGGGTACCCCAATATTAAATGGTTTATACTAAAAAAAAAAACCTAGCTTTTATAACTTTTAGATCAATTGCGTTTGACTTTTATCCATTGGAGCAATCAATGCATTTTTAAAATATCATTATACCATTATTTACCCTTCCCTCATTCAGTCATATTCAATGCTCAGTGCTTAGAAATTATGCCCTTTCTATAGTTATGTATTATTGTAGTTTAGAAATTTAACATTTTTATATTGTCTATTTAATTTTTACATTTATAATTATAATTGTAATATTTTTCTTAAATTTACCAAATTATATATATATATATATATATATATTATGTATAAAACTTATGTCCTCATCAGTAATTTTACATGTAAACTTACTTTTCAATTATATCATCCAAACATATTTCTTTTTGTCAAACTAACTTTTTTATAAAAGAGTATCCAAATATAAATTACAGTAATTGATATTTATCCTGACTTCATTTTACAAACTATAATTTGTGCCAATTTTAATTGGCAAAACGTTAAT